TTGAAGAGGGTTGGAATAGTTTTAAAAATGCAGTATTAGAATATGGGGCAGAAATTTGTGGCTATAGGAGGGTGGGTGCAGGAGGAAAGAGGAGTGATTGGTAGAATGATGAAGTAAAGGGTGTGATAAAAGAGAAAAAGGTAGCTTATGAGAGGTTTTTACAAAGCAGAAGTGTTATAAGAAGAGCAGAGTATATGGAGAGTAAAAGAAAGGTGAAGAGAGTGGTGAGAGAGCGCAGGAGAGCAGAAGATAGAGTGGGAGAGACACAAGAAATTTTGATGAAAATTAAGAAAATTTTTTGGAGATAAACAAGTTAAGAAAGGCTAGGGAACGAATGGATTTGTCAGTTAAAAACAGAGTGGGGGGAGTAGCAGAGGGGGAGCTGGAGGTATTGGGTAGATGGTGGGAATATTTTGAGGAACTTTTAAATGTCAACAAAGAAAGGGAGGAGGTCATTTCATGCACTGGCCAGGGAGGTATAATATCGCAGGATGTGAGTGTGGGGGAGGTGCGTGAGGCATTACGTAGAATGAAAAGGGGTAAAGTAGCAGGAACTGACGGGATCATGACAGAAATGTTAAAAGCAGCGGGGGATATAGTGTTAGAGTGGTTGGTATTTTTGTTTAATAAATGTATGGAAGAGGGGAAAGTACCAAGGGATTGGCAGAGAGCATGTATAGTTCCTTTATATAAAGGGAAGGGGGACAAAAGAGATTGTAAAAATTATAGGGGAATAATTTTACTGAGTATACCAGGAAAAGTGTACGGTACGGTTATTATTGAAAGAATTAGAGGTAAGACAGAGAGTAGGATTGTGGATGAGCAAGGAGGCTTTAGAGTGGGTAGGGGATGTGTAGGTTAAGTGTTTACATTGAAGCATATATGTGAACAGTATTTAGATAAAACAGCTGGAACTGATGGGATTTATGACAAAAAAGTTAAAAGCAGGGGGGGGTATAGTGTTGGAGTGGTTGGTACTTTTGTTTAATAAATGTATGAAAGAGGGGAAGGTACCTAGGGATTTGGGAGAGAGCATGTATAGTCCCTTTATATAAAGGGAAAGGGGACAAAAAAGACTGTAAAAATTATAGAGGAATAAGCTTACTGAGTATACCAGGAAAAGTGGTACGGTAAAGGGGTTTTAATTGAAAGAATTAGAGGTAAGACAGAATGTAGGATTTCGGATGAGCAAGGAGGTTTTTGAGTGGGGAGGGGATGTGTAGATCAGGTGTTTACATTGAAGCATATATGTGAACAGTATTTAGATAAAGATAGGGAAGTTTTTATTGCATTTATGGATTTAGAAAAGGCATATGATAGAGTGGATAGAGGAGCAATGTGGCAGATGTTGCAAGTATATGGAATAGGTGGTAAGTTATTAAATGCTGTAAAGAGTTTTTATGAGGATAGTGAGGCTCAGGTTAGGGTGTGTAGAAGAGGGAGACTACTTCCCGGTAAAAGTAGGTCTTAGACAGGGATGTGTAATGTCACCATGGTTGTTTAATATATTTATAGATGGGGTTTAAAGGAAGTAAATGCTGGGGTGTTTGGGGAGAGGGGTGGGATTAAATTATGGGGAATCAAATTCAAAATGGGAATTGACACAGTTACTTTTTGCTGATGATACTGTGCTTATGGGAGATTCTAAAGAAAAATTGCAAAGGTTAGTGGATGAGTTTGGGAATGTGTGTAAAGGTAGAAAGTTGAAAGTGAACATAGAAAAGAGTAAGGTGATGAGGTGTCAAATGATTTAGATAAAGAAAAATTGGATATCAAATTGGGGAGGAGGAGTATGGAAGAAGTGAATGTTTTCAGATACTTGGAGTTGACGTGTCGGCGGATGGATTTATGAAGGATGAGGTTAATCATAGAATTGATGAGGGAAAAAAGGTGAGTGGTGCGTTGAGGTATATGTGGAGTCAAAAAACGTTATCTATGGAGGCAAAGAAGGGAAGTATGAACGTTTTATAGTAGTACCAAAACCACTTTATATGGGTTATGTGAAGCTTGGGTGGTAAAATACAAGCGCGAGGAGGACGTTGGAGGCCACAGCGGAGATGTCCTGTTTAAGGCTATGTGTGGTGTAAATTATATGCAGAAAATTCGGAGTGTGGAAATTAGGAGAAGTGTGGAGTTAATAATAAGTATTAGCTCTGAGTTCGGCAGAAGAGGGGTTGTTGAGGTGGTTGTCATTTAGAGAGAATGGTCACAGTTAGAATGACATGGAAAGCATATAAATAAATCTATAGGGGAGGAAGGCGGGGTAGGGTCGTCCGTCAAAAGGGTTGGAGGATGAAGGGGGTAAAGGAAGGTTTTGTGGGTAAGGGGGCTTGGACTTCAGCAAGCTTGTGCGTGAGCGTGTTAGATAGGAGTGAATGGAAACGAATGGTACTGGGACCTGACAGATCTGTTGGAGTGTGAGAGGTAAATATTTCGTGAAGGGATTCAGGGAAACCGTTATTTTTCATATAGACGGACTTGAGTCCTGGAAATGGAAGTCAATGCCTGCACTTTAAAGGAGGGGTTTGGGAAATTGGCAGTTTTGGAGGGATTGGTTGTGTATCTTTATATGTTTATGCTTCTAGACTGTTGTATTCTGGCCCTCTGCAAAAACAGTGATAATGGCGAGTGATGGTGAGAGTGTTGAATGATGATTGAAAGTATTTTTTTTTGGGGATTTTTCTTTTTTGGGTCACCCTGCCTCGGTGGGAGACGGCCCGACTTGTTGAAAAAAAAAAAACCCCCAATACCCCCCCACCCCCACACCCCCCCCCTCCCCAAAGTAAATAATAATATTTAATAGATAAAGGTACGGAAGTTTTCATTGCATTTATGGATTAGAAAAGGCATATGAAAACCTAGGGGGAGCATGTGGCAGATGCTTGCAAGTACTGGAATAGGTAGTAGTTACTAAATGCTGTAGTAGAGAGTTTTTATGGGATAGTGAGTCAGGTTAAGGTGGTAGAAGAGAGGGAGATTACTTCCTGGTAAAAGTAGGTCTGAGACTGGGATGTGTAATTTCCACCATGGTTTAATATTTTTATAGATGGGGTTTGTTAAAGGAAGTAAATGCTAGGGTGTTGGGGGAGAGGAGTGGGGATTAAATTATGGGGGAATCAAATACAAAATTGGAGTTGACACAGTTACTTTTTGCTGATGATACTGTGCTTATGGGTGATTCTAAAGTTGCAAAGGTTAGTGGATGACTTTGGGAGGGTGTGTAAAGGTAGAAAGTTGAAAGTGAACATAGATAAGAGTAAGGTGATGAGGGTATCAAATGATTTAGAAAAGAAAAATTGGATATCACATTGGAGAGAAGGAATATGGAAGAAGTGAATGTTTCCAGATATTTGCGAGTTGATGTCAGTGGATGGGTTTATGAAGGATGAGGATAACCATAGAACTGGTGAGGGAAAAAAAGGTGAGT